TCTGCCTGTGGCTGGGGCCCCTGGGCGGGCAGGACGCAGCTCAGGTGACTCTCAGTAGATTCGGCACAGGGGATGGGTGCTTAGCTGGGTGTTGACAACACAGGAGGACCCTGCCCTGGCCCCACCTCCTTCTCCTCTCAGGGAAGCTTTTTGCTCGCGTTATGTTTCTCATCTGAATATAAGACGAACAAAAGGTTTGTCTGAGGGCAGAGTGAGCCCACCTGGGGCAGGATGCTGTGGTAGCGGAGGGCTCAGAGGCCATGTGTCCTCCAGGTCTGCAGCCGAGAGGCTGGCCCAAGGTCCGAGGGATGCTACCTGGAAGGCCTGTGCTTGGGGAGCTGTGGGTCTTCACACTCTGCTATCAAGACCCTCTGCCCGCCTGGTTCTCAGCTCCCTGGGGCCTGTCCTCAGTTTCTCTGACAATGTTTCTGAGTTTTCAAGGATTGTTTTCTATAAGACTCACGTTGTCTCCCCTTGTCCAAATCTACACCCTCCATCCTCCCCACCCTCTCCTATCACTGTCCCCGACTACCACCCTGGGCAGGAAGAAGCTGGCCCAGAGGCTCCAGGATGCTGAGGAGGCCGTGGAGGCCGTCAATGCCAAGTGCTCCTCCCTGGAGAAGACCAAGCACCGGCTGCAGAACGAGATCGAGGACCTGATGGTGGATGTGGAGCGCTCCAACGCAGCCGCCGCGGCCCTGGACAAGAAACAGAGGAACTTCGACAAGGTGAGCCCAGGCTTTGGGGGCCGCAGCCAAGGGGCAGAGAAGGGGGGGCTGGGGTCAGGAACATCCTCCTCAGGGGCTGGGAGGAGGCTGAGCCCAGGAGAGGGGCCTGGGTCATCCCTGGAGGTGGGACGTGCTGTGAGCCGTGTCCTGTGCCGCTCAGATCCTGGCCGAGTGGAAACAGAAGTACGAGGAGTCGCAGTCGGAGCTGGAGTCCTCGCAGAAGGAGGCGCGCTCCCTCAGCACCGAGCTCTTCAAGCTCAAGAACGCCTACGAGGAGTCCCTGGAGCACCTGGAGACCTTCAAGCGGGAGAACAAGAACCTGCAGGGTGCGGCCCGGAGGCCAGGAGGGGCGGGGCAGGGTTTGCATGTGATACCTTCCAGGGGTTCCTAGAGGTGTGCCCCCTACTTTGGACCATGGCAGCCCCCAACTGAGCAACCCGCCCCTCCCACAGAGGAGATTTCTGACCTGACGGAGCAGCTGGGCTCCAGTGGAAAGACCATCCATGAGCTGGAGAAGGTCCGCAAGCAGCTGGAGGCTGAGAAGCTGGAGCTGCAGTCGGCCCTGGAGGAGGCTGAGGTGCGTACATGGGGGCAGAGGTGGGGGACATAGCTTAGCTCTGGGCTGTGGTTCCTGTTCTCTTCTCTCTTTGTCTGTCGTGTTCACTGGTCCATTCTTAGAGCCTAGAACAGTGCCTGGCCCATAGTAGGCACTCATCAAATATTACAGAATGAACGAATAATCGGGTCACTCACTTCCCTTCACACAAACATTCTAACTATCACATCTTAGACAAGATTTCCTGTTTCGCTGCCCCCCTTTCCACCTCTGCCTCCTTTGATTTTCACATTCTGTGCCCAATTGCTTCTGTTTCCTTGGCAACACTTTTTTCTTCATTTTCCTCTTTGTCTTCATAGCTCGCTCTCCTCTGTGAGAGCTTGAATCACCTTCTCCTAGGCCTGTTTTTTCCTTTAAATTCTCTTTTTTTCTTCCTCCTTCTGCTTCTTTGCTGAACCACTTATACTACTTGAACTCACTTTGTGTTCAAAATTCATGAACAGACCCCTGCCCCCGTCCTATGCCCTGACTACCTCAGACCCTCTCTCCCT